TTTGTACAAGATGGTTTGGATACAAATAATCCTACCTCAAACAGGGGGTTGGACTAAGTGACTTAAAAATGTCCCTTCCAGTCCTAGTTCTCTACTATTTCTCTGACAAATCTCAATAGTCACCTAAGAGGTTCTGAACAAAGTTAACCAGATATGAACAATTAAGTGTATTAGCCCGCTGCAGCAAAAAAATAAATCTGGTCTACAGAAAGTAATATTTTAATCTGAAGACTCAAAAAAAGTAAAAGTGCTCAAAATTCCAATTAACCCAGTGGTCTAACCTGCAAATCAAATCCAGAGAACGCACTAGTTTCTGGCCAAAGAGGAATTAGGTTTCCTAGATATGTCCATTATTCTCAAGATCTCTTTTCCAAGATAAACCAGTTGCTTGTAACTGATACAGAGTAACAGTTACAGTGCTGTATGATCGAGTATAGGTTTCCCTCGATTTACGCAAATTTTGTATATGTAAATCCTCTCTTATGCGATGAGCATTTTTAAACTCATTGTTTGTTGTAAGCAAGGTAAATTTACTCTAATGCAATCGGCAGAGGCTTCCCCTGCCATTGCAGGTAAGTCTGTGGGTGGAGGGAAGAGGGCCATAGGGCTGGGGCCCCACTCACTCCAGCCCCTGCTGCAGCAGTCCCAGCTGCCTGCAGCAAGTGGGCTACACTGTGCTTTGCCTTTCCTCCTGCGCCTGGGTTCCACCTGTCCCCACTCACCCCAGCTCCTGGGCTGCGCCATTCCCTGGTGCAGGCAGCTAGTGTCAGCTGCTCCTGGGGCCGCTGCAGCAAGGGCTGGGAATAAGCAGAGTGCCGGGCAGCACTCACCCTAGCCCTGGCTGCAGTGGCTCCAGGAGCAACTAGCACCAGCTGTGGACGGAAGCATCAGTGGGTGCAGAGAGGGCGCATGCCTCCTGTCGCTCTGGACACCCCAGAAGGGCTACAGGTTGGGGGCCTGTGCCGGGCTCTTCCCGGGGGACACATGTCCCTGGATCTGCACACGGGACAACAGCAGGTGGCCACTGCTGGCTGGGGCCAGCGATGCCACCAGACTCTTCCCAACACTCAGGGCAGGCTGCACCAAGTGCCAGGAACAGCCTGGTGCTGCTGCTGGCTGGGACCGGCAGCAGCAGCCTGATGTTGTCCTGCACGCATATCCAGGAGCACGCGCCCCCCAGGAAGAGGCCGGCACAGCCCCCACAGACCACAGCACTCCTGGGGGGCATGGAGCAGTAAGAAGTGTGCCCCCCCCACCCCTTACACCCATTGACAGTTCCCTCTGCAGCTGGTGCTGGCTGTTCCCAGGGTTGATGCAGCAGGCGCTAGGGTGAATGCAGACAAGCTGTGCCACGTCCTGTGTCACCCCACGCTCCATGTGTCCTTGCTGCAGCAGCCCTGGGAACAGCCAACACCAGCTGCCTGCACCACGGCATGGCACAGCCCAGGAGCTAGGGTGGGTAGGGACAGGCGGAGCCCAGGCACAGGGGGACAGGTGGAGCATAGTGCAGCATAGTGGCTGCAGGCTGCTGGCACTGGCCACTCCTGGGACCGGGGTGAGTGTTGCTCTGTTCCCTCTGCTTTGCTCCCTTGTACAGCCCTGGAAGCAGCACCCCTCCCCTGCCCCTTCTCTAGTCCCAGCCTCACTCCCTTCCTCCCTCACAGTTATGGGAACCTATCCCTATTTGTTACATTATAAAGTGGGGTCGCTTTATGCAAATTTGATTTATGCGCCCTTCTTCAGGAAAGCATATACTTCATAAAAATTGAGGGAAACCTGTATTATGAAGACAGAAATCTAAGAGACTAAACTGCTAAGCATTAGCTTCACAGAAAATAAACCAAAAATTAAACTGAGCAACTAGAACAAGTAATTTTAGAAATGTAATTGGAATCATTAGGCTTTATATGGCTTTCAGCGCATTAAAAAAATTAGTTGTGCACTTAGTGGATCTTACAAATGCTGAGGGAAGACATAAATATAGCTCTATTCTATGGGTATAAGTTAATTTGAAACAATGTTATTAAGAAATTATATCACATGATTCCTGACCCAAGTGTAGAAGTTCAATAAATATACCATGTGTAAAAATAAGTAACACCCATAACTTCTCCTTTCCCTACATGAATTTATTAGCTGTTCTAATGGGAGGATGGGAGAGAAGAGATGGAGAAAGGGAGGTACTGAATTTAATTACATCTGCAACTGAAACTAAATTAGTTCACTACTAAGGTTCATAATTCTATCCAATGAGGTAGAAGACAGATCTTCTGAAGTAATGGAACACAATCCCTTTCACCCCCAACCACACACTAACTTACCACATGAAGTATTGATTGTGTCACGAAGTTCTGCATACTTCCACTTACTAAGATCATGCTTCTTAGTACCAGCAGCAGCTTTTGTGGCTTGAACTGTAGGGCCCCTAGAGATATTAAAAAGTATTCAAGGTAGACAAGGGAAAATATGAAGAATTGGTAGAAACAAGATAACAAACAGGTTCTGTGATCAAACATCTAGAGATCATATTACATTGAAAAAACAATGGTCTAAGATCTGAACGCAAAAAAATAAAGTAAAATTCAGCTTTACCTTCCAGAAATATAGTACATCTTCACTGTAACAAGTTGGAATAGTATAAAAAAGAAAGAAAACACTCAAGAAGTACAATTCTGATCCCAAATCTAACCTAAGTAAATTATTCTGTATTTTGTATCCTAAACATGTTTGTTTACTCAGTTGCTCAGTTTACTCAGTTTGTTTACTCAGTTTAAGAAATTAAAATAAACTGCAAGTAAAAGTTGCTGAAAGTCTATGCATTGGAGTGTTCTTTTGCTATACCTATTACTCCATACCTACTCATATCCTTGATAACATCACTAATGCTAATGCAGAATAAGGACAGCAAACAAGTGAACAGGCATATAAATTTTAAGTTCCATTAGCTCAAGAAGAGGAAAATGTTTGTGAACAGATAAGAGAATTAAAAGGTAATACTCTACTTCAATTAAAAGAATTGCCATTCTTTTAAAGAAGGTGGAAGTGTTTTATTCTAACAAGAGAAAATAATTCACCCTTCACCCCAAATTACCAGTATAAAAAGAAAAAACAAATTCTACACTAAAGTACCTTTAAAGCATCTATCTAAAAAAAAATTGCTATAAGCAATTGCAGATGACAAAACAAGAGAAATGTACTGTACTGTTGTCATAAAGGATGATAAATGTGGGATACTACAAGTTAGTGTTAACTATATTTAATTACATCAGCAACTGAAACTAAATTAGTTCACTACTAAGGTTCATAATTCTATCCAATGAGGTAGAAGAC